ATTTACTTATATATTTTAATCGTTTTGCTAGGGGCTCATACAACTCTTATAATCCATACATACATCAGTTGTGTAAAGCACATTTGTACATTCATTGTCCTCATCATTTTAAAAACATTTGTTCTCCATGCAAGCCCCTGGCATCAGCTCATTTTTCCCCTCCCTCCCCGCTCCTCCCTCCCTCATGAACCCTTGATAATTTACAAATTATTTTGTCATATCTTGCCCTGTCCGACATCTCCCTTCACCCACTTTTCTGTTGTCCGTCCCCCAGGGAGGAGGTTATATGTAGATCTTTATAGTCGGTTCCCCCTTTCCAACCCACCCTCCCTCCACCCTCCCAGTATCGCCACTCACACCACTGGTCCTGAAGGGATCATCTGCCCTGGATTCCTTGTGTTTCCAATTCCTATCTGTACCAGTGTACATCCTCTGGTCTAGCCAGATTTGTAAGGTAAAATTGGGATCATGATAATGGGGGGGGGGTGAGTATTTAGGAACTAGAGGAAAGTTGTATGTTTCATCATTGCTACATCGCACCCTGACTGGCTCGTCTCCTCTCCGAGACCCTTCTGTAAGGGGATGTCCAGTGGCCTACAAATGGGCTTTGGGTCTCCACTCCGTACTCCCCTCCTCATTCACAATGTTATGATTTTTTGTTCTGATGATGCCGGATACCTGATCCCTTCGACACCTCATGATCGCACAGGCTGGTGTGCGTCTTCCATGTGGGCTTTGTTGCTTCTGAGCTAGATGGCTGCTTGTTTACCTTCAATCCTTTAAGACCCCAGATGCTATCTTTTGATAGCTGGGCACCATCTGCTTTCTTCACATTTGCTTATGCACCCATTTTGTCTTCAGCGATCATGTTGGGAAGGTGAGCATCACAGAATGCCGGATTGTTAGAACAAAGTGTTCTTGTGTTGAGGGAGCACTTGAGTTGAGGACCAATGTCCATCTGCAACCTTAATTCTTAACATATAGTTAACATAGTTCTATTCCCCTCTTATTTTATATATATATTTACATATGCACATACCTAGATTTAGGTCTCTATAAATGTCCTTTGCCTCCTGGTTCTTTCGTCTATTTCCTTTTTACTTCCCTCTTGTCCCACCATCATGTTGGGCCTTCATTAGGGTTTAGTAATTCCTCGCTGTTACATCGCCCTGTTAAGCCCCTCTAGGGATCCTATGACCTTACTTCCATTGATTTTAGTTCACTTGCTGTTCCCTTGTCCCTGGGTTGGTTCCCACCCTCCTTCCTTTTTCCCACCTCCCCTTCTCAAGTATCCCCCTGGAACCACTGGTCCCGTTATTTTCATCTCCGAATTATTTATCCCACCTATCTTATCTAGACAAACACGCAGATACCAGGCAAAGCCAAATAAAACAAGGGAAGTCAAAACCAACAAAACAATAAGAACAAAAAGAAAGCCACTGACAAAAATGGAAAAGCCTATAAATAGTTCAAGGTCTGTTTGTTGGCCTTTACCAGTGTTTTCCAGTCGAGTCTTGTGGGGTGCCACACTCTGTCTCCCAAGTCTATTTTTGGTATTCCCGGGGGTTTCATCATTCTGCTCCCCCTGCTGCTCTGAATACCCGCAGTGCCTCACCCCAGCATGATGGGGCCAGACCGTGCACTATTCCCACACTGTGTCTCCAGTGCTGTCCCCCACAGCGCCATAGTTCAGTGAGGGACACCGTGTCCCAAAGTGTTGCCAGCCCTGCGGTCCTCCCCGTGTGTTATCTACTTGGAGCAGGAACATTGTCCTTGGGGCTTGGCAGGCCAGGATGCCCTCTCCTCCCTCACCATCTCTTTTCGTTTCTCCCGTGTGCTCTAATCCGTAGCGCCCCTCTCCCCAAGCTGTAGTCCCAGTGCTGTCCTCTGAGGTGCTATCTTCTGAGGGGGTGGGTGTTCACATAGTTGGGATTGGGGCCAGCCCCGCAGACCTCTCTATTGGTTCCCTGGTACATGCTGGTACATTGTATTCACATCTTGGCACATCAGGTTGAAGCTGGTCTCTCTCTCCCTCTCCTGTGGAGATATAAACAATACCCTCCCCTTGGGTGGGTTAGTGCACTGCTCCCCCACTACCCATGTCTTTTCTCTCTCTCTCTCTCTCTCCTATTTAGTTGGCTGCCGTATGTATCTCTAGATTGGGTTTGGGTCCTGCCATACTTGCTGGACCTCACCCCAGGGATCTATGTATATAGCAGCTTTCCCCCTATCCTTTTTTTTTTTTTAAAGCTTTCCTCAATGGAATCATGTTGTATTTGTCTTTTTGTGCTTGCCTTACTTCACTTAGCATAATTTCCTCCAGTTCTTCCCATGTGGCGATGTGCTTCATGCGTTCATCACTGCTTTTTAGCGAGGCGTAGTACTCCATTGTATGTATGTACCACAGTTTTTTGATCCATTCGTCTGTTGATGGAAATTCAGGTTGTTTCCAACTCCTTGCGACTGTGAACTGTGCCACCATGAACATTGGAGCACAGATGTCTGGATGTGTTTTGTTTCTTGCCTCTTCTGGGTAGATGCCCAGTAGGGGGATTGCTGGGTCATATGGTAGCTCAATCTCCATCTGTTTTAGATATCGCCAAATCGATTTCCATAATGGCTGTACATACCTACAGGTACACCAGCAGTGGATGAGAATTGCTATCTCCCCACAGCCCCTCCAACACTTGTTACTTTCTGATATTTTAAATTGGGCTATCTTTGAGGGGGTTAGGTGGTATCTCTTGGTTGTTTTAATTTGCATTTCTCTTATGGCTAATGATCGGGAACACTTTCTTATATATTTATTGGCCATTCGGATTTCTGGCCCTGTGAAACTTCTGTTCAGGTCCTTTGCCCACCTCCTTAGTGAGCAGTTAGTTTTTTTTGTTGTATCGCTTCTGTTTTTCAATGCTGCATTCCCAGGACCTAGGATTGTGCCTGGTAGTATGATAAATATTCAATCAATTACAGAACTTCCTGAAACCACTGAATAGGTAACCAGATACCCATATAGGTACTTAAGTTCTAGAAAGGACTTGTGGACCACCTTTACACATAACATTATGACTCCCATTTCACTAATGGACATCTGAGTTGGTTCAGATAACCTACCTTAGATCAGAACCATTACACTGAAAATCACCTTTTTATCCCTTAAAAAAAAATTATATATATATGCCAAGAATAGAAGCAATGGGAAAAAAATCTAGCATACAAAGAGAACATTATCCATGTCATTTAACATTTCTTGAAGACTTGAATTTAATTGATGTAGAAGAGCCCTCCTGGATAAATCCAACAAATATTTTGGTTTCCCCCAAACAAAACAAAACCAAGCCTTCTTGGCTGGAATTAAGGATTCTCTGCTGGCAGCTCAGACTAGACTTTTTACATATGTGCTTTTAAGACGGGCTCATAGATTGCACATGTGGTACACAGCAACCAAGGGGCACTTAACATTCATTAAATAATAATGAAATTGGAGGCCTGGGTTTTTTTGTTCCTCCTGGGTCTGTTCCTTACTTAAGGGACCTTGGACAAATCTATGCCCTCCCTCATGTCCAATTTCCATATATCTGTTTCAGGAGAATGTTGAGCTTTAAAATGTTTTGTGACATCTTCAGATTACCAATGGTAGCTATGGAATGTATCTCCTACACTATTTTACAGACTGTAAGCGGGATACTTTCACGGAAAATCTTCACACACAGTTGTGGAGCACTGTTGATGCCCTCTGGGGATGGTTCAGATATTCTAAGGCCAAACAAGACAATGTGCATACCATGAACCATAAAAAGTGCTTCCTATGCAACAAACAACTGAAAAATGGGCAAATGCAAGGCTCCAAACCACATTTCCTTATTTCTACTGTTTTCTGTCTCCTGTAAACCTTGCGGAAGCCGACAACATTGAGTACCCTGGTATTTAGCCATTCCTTTCCAAAACAATTGTACCAAATACTATCTACTGGGACAGCTAAAGGCCTACACTAGCTGGTCGAAGCAGACGGCTCTGGTAATCAGGCACCGGTGCAGTTCAAGTGCGTATTCTATACGTTGTACTGGAGGTTTGCAAAACACAGCCATCTTGCATCAGGCACCCTGGTCCATACAGAAGGGGGGCACTGTGCCCTCGGCCCTGGACACCGCCACCTGCGAAGGCCAGGCGCCGTGCACCGGCAGCCCGGCTCGGCCCGCGCCGCGATCGAAGGAAAGTTGTCTGCGGGGCCCGGGAACTCGCACCTCGAACCCGGCCGCGCCCCCAGCCCCAGCCCAGCCCGCTCCGGGTGACGGCGGGACGTTGGTCCGCC